TCATGATAACACAGTGACATTAATATAGGGAATACTCCTTTTTGGGTGTTTGCATGTTTATTTGGTAAGTGGATTGTTAATGATACGTGTGCATTAGGATGATATTTGTTTTGGGGAGAATTACTTTTTGGTTCCCTGTGGTGCCACGGGCCAGAGAAACCACTGGGCTTCAAGAGTCCAGGCAAGGAACACACTGTGCTTCTGCTGAGGCTGGTGGCAGCACAAGCCCTGCTAGCACACAGCAGGGTTTTTGTGCCAGTGCGTGGAGATGGCACTGAGAGTGGTTTTCATCTCACCTCGGTTACCACGACACTACCATAACCCCACTAAAGCTGCAGAAATCCCCTGCTTTACTCAGAGGGCAGGAAACAGGCAGGCACTTGCAAATATTTCTTCTTTGTCTTGAGTTCCTTGGCTTGGTTTACGTGCATGTAGGATTCTGTGCACTGAAACTGCAGGAGCAGGGACAGCTCAAGATCCTGATAGCTTGCCTGGGTAAAGCTGTGCTGGTATACCCAAAGCAAGGCACCCAAAGTGTTCCCACTGCTGATTCTGACTTTGGGAGTCTCAACTGTCCACAGCAACAAAGAAAGGTCTTCCCAGTCCTGACTGCTTCGTGGCCTTTGCTGTATTTTCACCTGTGAATATAGTTCTTGCTCTTTCAGTTTTATGTCTGTCAGAAATGCAAAGGTGTTTTTCTTTTAGCCGTATGTTTCTGTTGGTTGTCTTCCTGTTTTTTAGTTACATTGGGCAGAACAGGTGGCATTACTAAGCCAAGCATTGGTCAATAAGCTAATGCCAGTGCTGGCAACCTAAATCACTTCAATGATTCCCCCATCCATAAATATGCAAAAGGAAAGCACCTCTGGGTGAGCACCCCAGCATTACTGAATCTTTGTAGGACTGCAGCCAAAAGAAGAAGGCAATTAATTATTTTGACACAAGTTTCTAAATTTTCTCTCTTTCCAGTAATTCAGGATTATGCCAGGTTTTGGAAGTTATCACCATCCAAACTATTCTTTAAATGTCCCTTCCTTCCATATCAAAATTTCTTACGATTTCAAGTTGATGCTAGTGTAGCCATGGGTATTAATATTTCATGGGATGATTTTTTCTACCAAGATATCAGCTGTCAAATGTAGATGCTAATTATCTCAGTAATTTCAAAACTGGGTACCTCGGAGGCTGCTTTTCTAGTTGTGTAATTTACAGAACACAAAACTTTTTAAAATAATCAAGGAAGATGTTTTAAACTGCATTCCCCTTCCAGCTCAGCTGCATGCATTTTATTTCATTTTCTCTTGTTATTCTTTAGAACAATAGTTGAAAAAAAAATATCTGTCCACAGTTTTCCATTTCACAAGCCTTGGAAACTTTTTGCTATGGGAAAAGATGTTTTGCCCTGACCTCTACCACTGAAATGCTCACTACAAAAAACCAAAACAAGGGAGTTTTCTAAATTCTGTTTCTCACTACGTCATTCATTCTCGTGAAAGAAGAGGTGGAATTATAAACTTACCTGTTGCTGTCAGGCAGTTGTGTGTTGTTTTAAATTGTGTTTGCCCTTCAGATCTCAAAATCTTTTAAAAAAAATTCTCTTTTTTTACCTTATAATTATAGATTTTGAAAATAATAACAGAGGAATAACAACCAGGTTAAAACAGTAAAAATATTTTCATTTAAGTAACAGTTTCACATTCTATTTTGATGACTATGGTACAGTAATTTGGTAGGATATTATTTAACTCAAATGAGACTCTTGTGCATGAACCTTTTTTCTTTTATTGTTGTTTTTCCTTTTTCTTCCCTTTCCCTCCTTTCCTCCCTCCCATTCTTCAGAGCAAATGTTAACTCCATTTTCAGTTAAAGGGAGTTTGCAGACTTGATGAAATTTGGCCACAGACTTCATGTAATTTTTATGATTCTATGTATTTGATAATTTTCTTGGGGTGTATCTTTTTTTGGGGAAAAAAGTTGGTAAACAGGAAACTTAAACTTTGTCACACAGTTGTGTAATTTCAAGAGTAAAAGCATTAAAATCTTTCACCATTCTTATAACACAAGAGCCCAAGTAATAATTGTGGTTGCATTGAAGAAAACACTTAACTATAGTAATTTCTCATAACATATTTACGTAATGTTTTATATTTGAACAAATTTTTTTTGCTATATCTTTGTGATTGCACAGTCTAAGATTTGTGTCTGAGTACAGTGTAATTAAGAATGAAATCCTATTTGGATGATGATGTAGGAATTTTCTCCTCG